ATTGCAAATGTTTCAGAAGAATGAAAAAGTCATAGGACCGAAAGGAGGCATTTTTCAGATTTTGTCAAAAGCAGCCAATATGTGCGATGCCAAAATATAGGGTTTTCCTAGAATTTCCTAATAAAATTATAAAATACTATAAAATCATTGAAATAAATGACAGCATTGCTTTCTCAAGGTTTCTTTCTTTCTTTTTAAATAAATAGGCTACTTATCCTGAAGAAATGAGGAACTGTCAGAGCCTGTTACCAAAGGTGCTATTCTGGTATGACTTAAATTTTTTTACCAAAAAATCAAAATAGACGGTCATATGAACAATGGTGGCACCCTTATTACTGCTGCTTGATTTTAAATCAGAAATAATATTGGGTTTCTCTCTCATTACAGTTCTGAGGATTAGTAGTACCACTTGGAGTACAGACTTGGGAAACTTAGAGACCTGGGGAGTTCAGCAGAAACACACATCAGTCATTGGTTCATAGCAAAGAGAGAATCTGATGGGTGAGAACTGTGAGGACTCCTGCCCAGCATGTAGGAGTGTTCCTTGTTTTCTGTGCACTTGGTTTTGCACTTTGAAAGGTTCTTCCAAAAACAGAAAAATGAATAAAATTCCAACTGATTTTATCTCACCTACTTCCTGGCATCAAAGTCGTGGCATGCGACTCTTTGGCATGTTTTTTTGTGTTTTTTTGTTTTTGTCTCTTTGAGCCTGTGGAATCTGTTAGGTCCGATGATTGTGACAAACACAGACTCACGTAGGGCCAGAGGAGACAGTAAGTGTGGGAGGCTGAAGCATTCTTAGCTTGTTCTTTCATGCCTACCTCAAGTCTGCCCTGCACTGTGGGGATGTCTTATCTGTTTTCATTAAGAGATGTTTTTGCTACATTAATAGCTCTATCAGAATAATGGTTTTGAGTATAATGGTATATTGAGTGAATAAGGCTCATAGGATACAATGAAAAATAACTTTAGTTTTGTCTCCTGTGTCCTTTAAAATATATTCTACGGCCCTAGCCGGTTTGGCTCAGTGGTTAGAGCATCGGTCTGCAGACTGAAGGGTCCCTGGTTCGAATTCCTGGTCAAGAGCACGTACCTGGGTTGCAGGCTCCATCCCTGGCCCCAGTCATGGTGTGTGCAGGAGGCAACCAATGGATGTGTCTCTCTCACATCGATGTTTCTCTCTCTCTCTCTCAATTCCACTCTCTCTGAAAAGCAATGGAAAAAATATCCCTGGGTGAGGATTGAAAAAAAAAGTTATCTGGAACTGGTTCTTATCTTGCTCCCCTGTCAAAAGCTGTGTAGATCCCATTACTATCCCCAGGTGTCACTGTTAGGTAACACCAGTGGTCAGGCACGTGCATATTGGGTAGAATTTTGTATTGATTTTTGCTTAAATGATTTGGCTCTTAAGTTTCTTGTGAGAACTTTGCTATATTTGATAAGATAAATGCCTAGAATAAACCAGAAGGCTCTTACTCAATTACTATATATTAATATCACTAAAATACTCCTTTCAGCAGGTCCTTCTTTGGCTTCCCATAGTCTCCCTTCGCAGTGTCTCCCACCTTTCCCCTTTCATTTTCTCCCTAGTTTAGATCTTTTGCTCACACCTACACAAGGAAACACCCAGGCCTGAAGGAGAGACCTTCCTAATCAGCTTCACTCCTATCCCCCACTCCAGTCCCAAATTTTAAGTAATTCAGCATGAACCTGTCATGGGATTATGTTAGCTTCATAGGTCGAATTTCTTTACTATAATCTTATGCTGATTTAATTATAAAAACATGAAGAGAGTAAAGGTTATTTCTTCCCACAAGCTTTAAATTCAAATGTGAGAAATCCATAGATAGAAGTACAGAGAAATTAACTGGAAAAGTTCAAGGAGGTTAAAGCAATTCTTGCTTTAATTATTCTCTGAATTCTCTTGCTCTGGTCTAGATGGCACAGTCACTCAAATCTCTTATTGTTTTTGACTTGTAAATTACTTCAGAGACAAGGTTCATCTCACGTACTCTCTTGGCACAACATTTTATTTTCACTGAAAAAAGTACATTTTATTTCTTTCTTTCTATTTCTTAAAATTTATCTTTATTGTTGAAAGTATTACTGCACAGCCAAGCGTGGCTCAGTGGTTGAGCATTGACCTAGGACCCAGGAGAGCTCGGTTTGATTCCTGGTAAGGGCACATGCCCAGGTTGTGGGCTAGATCCTGTTGGGGACAGAGGCAGCCGATCAATGGCAACTCTCTCATCACTGATGTTTCTACCTCTCTTTCTCTCCCTCTCCTTTCCTCTCTCTGAAATTAATAAATATACATTAAAAAAAATTATTAAAAAAAAAGTATTACAGATATTCCCTCTTTTTCCCCCATTGACCCCCTCCACCCTGCATCTATGCCCCCCAGGTCTTCACCACATTATTGTCTGCGTCCATGGGTTATGCAAATATGCATATAAGTTCTTTGATTAATCTCTCCCCGCCCACTCCCCCACCCTCGCCTTCCCACTGAGATTCATCAGTCTCTTCCAGGCCTCTGTGTCTCTGGATCTATTTTGTTCCTCAGTCTACCTTGAATATTTCATGCCATTCCCTTCTGGCCTGTAGAATTCCTAATGAGAAGTCAACTGACAGCTTTATGGGAGCTCTTTTGTAGGTAATAGATTGCTTTTCTCTTGCTACCTTTAGGATTCTCTCTTTGACTTGAATTCTTGGCATTTTAATTATGATGTGTCTGGGTGTGGGCCCCTTTGGATTCTTCTTGCTTGGGACTCTCTGTGCCTCCTGAACTTGTGTGACTTTTTCCTTGACCAGGTTAGGAAAATTTTCTGCCATTATTTCTTCAAACCCTTGCTTACTTTTGACCTCTTCTGGCACTCCTATAATGTGAGTATGGTTACATTTCATGTTGTCCCACAGCTCCCTTAGACTGTCCTCTGGTTTTTTAATGGTTTTTTCTTTTTAGATCTCTGATTGAGTGATTATTATTATTTTTTTACCCTGTCTTCTAATTAGGTGATCTGATCCTCAGCTTCCTCTAATCTGCTGTTTATTCCTTCCAATGTACTCTTTATTTCTCCTATGTCATTCTTAATTTCCTTCATATTTTCCATATCTTTTTTCATGCTGTTCAGCATCCTTACAATCAGTATTTTGAGTTCTATATCTGATAGATTGCTTATCTTCATTTCATTTAGCTCTTTTTCTGGAGACTTCTCTTGTTTTTTCATTTGGGGCTTGTTTTTTGTCTCCCAATTTTGGCTGCTTGTTTGGGTTTGTTTCAATGCATTAGGTAGATCTGCCAGGACTCTGTCTTTTTGGAGGGTCTCTGGTGCAGGCTGATGTCAGACACAGTTTGTGACTGGCCCTGAGTACTCTGTTTGGAGCTACAGCAACCCTCAGCTTGAGGTCCCCTCTGCTGGGGCTGGGTACATTTGGACCGGACCAAGATGCACACCAAAGTCTGCTTTTCCAAGGCCTGAGTCCAGAAGCACATCAGGTAAAAACTTAAAGCACTCTGAGGTCTGCCTCTGCCAGCAGGCTGATTAATTTGATTGTCTTAATGAGCCTCAGGCTGTAGAAACTCCTTAGGGTAAGGGGAGAGGTTTTCCAGCAGGGTGGGGCAATTGCTCCCCCCCCCCCC